CACACACACACACACACACACACACAATGAAACAGCACAACATTTAACAACCCTGTCTGACACGTTGTGTTTCCATCACCAGACGGACCTGTACTCTGGAGCCTTGTTTGTCCAGGTGTGTCTGGGATGGAACCTCTATCTGTCCACTGTCCTCATGCTGGTGGTCACTGCACTCTATACTATAGCAGGTACACACAAACCACGACGACATTATGTTTGTGTCTCGGTTTTGATCACATCACAGAACTTTTTCAGCTCAGAGAAAGAATTTCTTACACTTGCATAACTTATATTTTATAGATAAATCCCTGTCAAGCAAATAAGAATCTGTTCTGTGCACAGCACACTGTAGTATCTGTATTCTTACTGTCCATCCATGCACTCAGTAACCTCACTCACTCAGTTTTACTCTATCGTTCTTTGTCGAATTCACAGTTTTATGAATTTAAAACAATGGACGCTTTGTTCTTCATTTTTATATTTTTCCACACGGTCACATTTTCCTGCACGCTTGCTCAACCTTCTCTCTCCGATCCAGTGAGTAGTAGGATCAGTGTTCACGGGAGAAACAATTAGTTGTTGGCGACGCTTTTTATTTTCTTAAATAAATCGTAAATAATAATTTCTGCACAAAACCTTCTTTATGTGCTTTTGCTTTATCTTTCCCTTTGCATGTAAGGTTTCATCAACAGTATCACATGCTCTTGTGTCCAGGTGGTCTCGCTGCTGTCATCTACACAGACACTCTGCAGACAGTTATCATGATCATAGGAGCAATAATCCTGACAGTTACTGGTATGTACACTTGAATCCTTCAAAAGCAAACTGAGCATGCACATCTGCAGTTTTTAGTATCATGAGGAATGTATAGTTGGGAGTTGTACCTCGATCCACAGCCTTTAACAAGATCGGAGGGTACAGTAACCTGGAGCGTGTGTACAGCATGGCGGTGCCCAGTAAGATCATTCCCAACAGCACCTGCCACCTGCCACGTCAGGACGCCATGCACCTGTTCAGGGACGCCGTCACCGGAGACCTGCCCTGGCCGGGCATGACGCTGGGCCTCACCATACTGGCCACCTGGTACTGGTGCACTGACCAGGTACATCTGCAAAATACACATCAGTGACAATACTCACGTGCCTCGAGGTGCAGCTTCCTCCAGGGACCGTAATGGACCACAAAGCTGGAACTCCATTAAAGTGAAGTTAAAAACCTTCTCTCTCAAAACACGTAAAACTAGAACTACAGCCCAGAGGTCGTTTGTCTCCACCGACCAGATTAGTTTCAGTCTTAATACGTTTTTCTTTAGACTCACATGGGTTCACCTTTGTCCACTGAATCAAATCAGTTCCTTTTTGAGTCACGTTCAAGAGGCAAAAATAAGTGTTTGTGAGGTAACTGTGATCTCTTTTCTCTTCTGTAGTCTTTGTTGTTTATTAGTTTTTGACTCAACTTCTAAAATCTAGGGTTGTTGTACTTGTTTTACCGAACTAGATTTACTCAAGTACTGTGTCTTTGTACAGAAAATAGTCAAAATGCCACAAGAATACTTTTAAAATAACATGAAAGCTCTTTTTTATTTGGCGAATTTGTAAAAGAAAAGTAAAATGAGGTCATCAAAGTTTTTTCTCAACTGACTGTGGCCTCAGAAAAACTGTGAACCTGCTCAACTTCAGTAAATATGGCAGATCCATATTGAACCAGAGGTTTATGAGTTTTAACACATTTTAATGAATAATCTTGGTTTGTCCTTATTAATCATTTCTCTAAAATCTGAAAACAGCTCCTTGATCACAGGGTGGAGATTTTTTTAGCAACATTTTCCAATTTCAAGGAAAATCTTTCATGTAATCTTGGACTTTCTTTGGTTTTGCTCCTGCTGCTAAATATCCCAACAGACTCCATTCTGTTAAAGTTGACTGCTCCAAGTCTCAGGTCAGTCTCCATCTCTGGCCAAACCCAAACACCAGGCTTTAAAAAACCCTTTAAGAAACCTAAGACTAGAATTATATATTTTCTATGAGGCAAAAGCAGACATACTTAAAATACCTCACTGCACTCAAACACATTCATTAACCGCTCTGGATGATTTCCAGATCAGATGCCGTTAGCTTGAGTTATAGACTTTCACTGTCAGACATGAGATTTTCCTGGTACTGATGCTGACTCATCTTTAACTGGTGTTTAATCTGATCTGTTTGAAGCAACAACAGAGAAACAGTCTGACTTTTTATTTACAACATTCACTTTTAGTCACATCAGTGTTAAACATCGAATACACCTGGTCTCCACATCTGTAATCAACAACATCTGCCTCACCCGCAAAGCAAGCAACACGGTGGCTTAACCCTCGCACCATCAGTTACCACAGTGGTATCAACACCCAGAGCCTGACGCGTATATCAGCGGGAAAACATCTTCAGCTGATTGTCACATCTGTGTGTGTTTAATATAGAAAAATATTACGGAATGAAATTCTAAAAAACAGAAGCTGATTTAAACTGGAAGTGTTCAAAGGATTCATTACAAGACTGAAGTGCTTTATTTGATCAAATCTAGTATGTTGTTGTTTATCAACTACTAAATACCTCTGCTTCTGTTCAATCTTAAACTGTGTTCAGACCTGGCATCAACATCTGACCTGAAAGATCGGAGTCCAGGCCCGGACGCACTGTAACGTGTCCTGAGATCCGATCGCTCGGACCATATTGGGAGCTGGTCCGAGACGCATCATTTTTGCTGTTGGAATGCAAAAGCGTCACTTGTGAAGAACCAAATACTCAGCTGACGTCACAATATCAACACTGATCGCCACATCACAATCTTTTTCTTAATTCTTAAACTGATAAAAATAATTCTGCACAGCAGCTGCACAAGATTCACTCAGCCCCTCCTGACTCGTCTCTGCGTCCCGCTCGCTCGTGCCGACACACAGACACACATTGGACACGTCTCTAAACTCAGACTGTGTAAAAACAACACATCACTTTGTCTTCACAAATACAAATGACTTACATGATTATTTGCATATAGAGCAGGGAAGTCAAATCACAATGGACTCAACACTGTCTCATTGTGATTGGATCTCTCAGGACAGACGTTTATATCAGGTCTGAACAGGGGCTTAGAAACAAGATGACTGAATCACTTGTTTACTAATTATGACAGATGCAAGATAAAAAGTGTTGCTCTCAGATCAGTAACGCTACTGAAAGCATCCAGTCTGAAACTTTAACCAGGAGGAAAAAGTTTGGAAGGACAAACAATTCATTTACAGACAAAGCCTCTAACAACACATCATCATATCAGATTCATATCACTTCATAATTAAATAGTTGGTGTAAGCTGAGCCTTAGGGTTTAAAACAGGAAGTGACATGCATGCCTGAGATAGAAAGGATTCCACAGTGAACAGTCACCAGTTTCGTAGCAGGAAGTCTTTATAAACAAACGTCCGTGCGTCCACAGGTCCTCTGTTCTAGCTAGCAGCCTGTTTATTATGAGTCGCTTTCTTCTGCGACCCTCCTCCTCGTGCCCTCAAGTGTCTAAAATTGGTCAGTTTTGAGAAAGAAACTCCAAGTAGCCCTGATGGGCTGGTTGGCTGCTGTGCCGAGGTGTTGTCCGTCTTCCTGTAACCCGGGCTGTGGCGTCGTGGCGACCGGCTGGACCGAATCTCTGCGTGCGGCCGGGTCGAACTGGTTTGCAGCCCTTGACCCTTCCAGTATTGGTGTCCTCCTATCACAGGGCCAGCTGCTCGGGTAGGGCGGTGGTAACTTCCCGGTTTGGCGATGACGACTTTGTTGCCTCGCAGTCGTGCATCTCTACCTGGAGATCTAGAGGTCTGGAACAACTAGAAATTCAGAAAAGATACATCACGTTAATCATAGAGTGTTAATAAAGATGGACGACGTGACAGCTCTCAAATCTGAAGCCAAAACATCCGGATAGCCCCCTGTTGGCTGGAGTGTTAGTTTACGTGACCAAATTAAATCAGCATACATGCTTAATAAATGTTTTTGGTCAGGTAATTTTTGGGAATTTTTCAGGTACGTTTGGTTTGAATTTGTTATTTGATGCTTTAAAAACAGGGTGAGATTTTAGCACAGTGGGACATTTGGTTCTATAATTCTTTTGAAAGGTGCTCCATGGATAAAGTTAATAGTTATTACTGTTTCTCTGTGTTTAGGTTATTGTGCAACGCTCCCTGTCGGCTAAGAGCATGAGTCACGTGAAAGGAGCATCGATCCTGGCTGCCTATCTGAAGATGCTGCCCTTCATCTTCATCATCCTCCCCGGCATGATCAGCCGAGCGCTCTATCCAGGTGCGTGCACAAACGCTTCAGCGGAAAATCAGACACAATTTGATTCAGGGAAAAAAGTAGCGTTTCCTTTGATGCTGTTGGTTTAACACACCTTTTTTCAGTTTGAAAGTTTGAATAAATGTGTGTGACACATTTTCCTGTTAAAGGAGTGTCAGTGAACATGTTCTAACTGCAACTGACAATGAACACATCGTCTGGTGATTGTTATCTTTTTATCATTTAGTTTATAAAATGTGGAAAACAGTAGAAAATCTTTAATTCCTTGTACATTGCAGCTCACTTTTTGTCTTGCTCATTTAATCGACTAAACATTTTGGTTCAACAATTAAAAAGTATTTTTCAGCAGAGCTTTGACTATTGTAATGTAACTTCCTGTTTAATTGTTTAGTCTGTGCAATGTGAGAAAGTCGGGAAAAAAAGATCCAAAGACAGAAAAAGAAGCAAACATAAAATTTCTTATCGTCGGCCATTGCTCACTTCTCCAATGTGCCTGTGTGGTGAGGGGTGACCATGTCTGCGGAGCTGCTGGGACTGGCGGATGAGGGCAGCGCTGTCCTCTGATTGGCTGGGCTCTCGAAGGTCCAGCATACTCTGGGAGAGGCGGGCCATCATGTTGACCCCATCTCCGTACCGATGTCCGCGACCTGAACCTGTGGAAGTTCTGCTCGTCAGTGGGTCAATTGGCTCCTGCTGGATATCGTAAAACTCCTCCTCCGACACAGTGGAGGCACTTGAAGGATCATCGTTGGCCGCTCGGTCACAGATGACCTTGGTGCTGTCTTGGCTGCCCTCGTCATTGCTGCCGGAGTCCCTGTCGTTGTCCTTAGATGTCATGCGGCCACGGCCTAACGTCAGCTGCGGCTGGGTTCTCTGTTCGCTCAAAGAGTCATCTTGACTTTCCAGTTGGTCCATTTTAACGAGAGTCACCTGCGGTTGGCCGGGCTGGTCTGAAGGGGTTGGGTCAAGGACCAGCTGCAGTGTGCGGCGTTTAGGAACAGGAGGTGCTGGGGTTTGTGTGTCTGGAGTTTGTTTAGCGTCATGTGTTGTTTGTGGATCAGCAGTGATACCAGATGGTGATTCAGCAGTGTGTTGATTTAGGTTGTGTTTGTCCTGTGTGCGGGGCTGCTGAGGGGCCACACTGGAATCTGTTGTATCGGTTTGGGCTTGGTTCTGAGAAGCATTTGTTTTCTCTTTGACCTGTTTGCTGGTTGTGGTCACAGGAGAAGTGGCTTCTGGACTTGTATTCCCAGAGGGCTTTTTGGTTCCTTCTGCCATGTTTGCATCATGACCCGGTGCAGGTTCCTCAGACTTGGGTGGCAGCGTCAGCGGTGCTTTGAAGCGTATAGCCTGGCTGACCTCAAACCTCTCTGACCTCTGTAGGTGAACCTGATTGGCCCGCTTTTCATCCCTGATATTGATAAAGCCTATCACGTCGCTTGGTGGGTCAGGCTCTGGCCAGGTGGGCAGGTAAGGAATCAGGTATGCTTTCTCCAGATAGGCTAATCCTGGGTGTAGGGGCGGTTCTTCCATTACTTTCTTAGGACGCCCTGTCATTATTTTTAGCCCTGTGGGGTTTTGAGGGTTGGAATTCTGGTCAGAGGGGGCTGGACTGTGGGCTCCCGTGGTAACCAGGGAGTATTTGGGATTGATGAGCTTCCTAGCAATAGCAGCTGACACAGGAGTAGGAGCCGCCTGGGGCAGCGGGTCGGGGACTGGTTCGTCCACCATGGGAACCTTGCTAAGAGACACCCCTCTGGACATGAGGTAAAGGTCACGAAACTGTAGGTCCAACGTCTCCACCGCCTGTCCTGTGATCACAGTGATGAGGTTACGGTCCAAACGAGAGGACGACCAGGTGAAGCTGCAATAACACAGAGAAGGAAACATAAGTTCACAGCAGTGATTCAACCATTATGATGTCACAGTTCCAGAGATTAATCATTACACAAGAAATTTGTGCACTGAAGTCATGCAGCATATCGTGCCCTTTGGACAAATCACAAGTTTGTTTGTCCTTGGAAGAACAGGTCACACAGTCAATGAGAACGTGCAGAAATATTGATTGATAGATAACAAAGTTACCTTTTAGGTAAACATTCATGCTCCGTGCTAACTAAGTGGTAATTTGGTGGTGTAAATTTTCTTTGAAGCATTGTCTAAAACTATTTAAATCAAACACACTCAGCACGTTTTATTCAGTGTTTCTGGGCTGGTTGTGGGTGGGGGGGTTATTGGTGTTACAATAGCTACAAAGAGCATTTGCATATCTCCTTGCAGCTCAGTGTTAGTCTCGACCAATTCCTGAGGGAAATATCTGGGTCATAATCTGCTCCACATTGTTTCACAACCATTTGCTTTCTGCTGTTTTGTGCTTGATCGACTCCGCAAAAATAGTTTATCTTCGATGCTTCCGGCTGTCTGCTGGTAGAAACTGTGCGAGACTTGTTGAGAACAATGAACCTGAACCTAAACTGTGACTCTGTGGGCTAGAGAACCAAAACAATGAGCTAAAAGACAACAAAATGCTCAGAAGAGTGAGAGGCAACTCTCGAGTCGGGTGATTATTTTCTCGGGGCGCAAAGTGACCTCCTTTTGACAAATAATCACTTTTAATATGTTGCCAATGATAAAATATTGATAAGTGCAACTTTAGATGCTCAAATGGACAATTCACTGATTCACAACATTCTGTTCAGTAGACTTCTTACCTGTATGAACCAGAGACGGCTCTGTCTCCATCGACCAGGAGAAACTTCTGGCTCAGCGACCCACGCACCCTCTGTGCCGACCGGGTGAAGAACTCCACACCTCCGCAGCAGCGCACACGCAGATTCTACACACGCACACATTCATGCAAAGTTAATGCTGTGCAAACAAAGGCATACTAAGGGATTTGTTACCGACAGGAGGAGATATTTTACTGAACAAAAGGGAAATGAAGGCAACAAGAAAGTGGGGGGGCAGAAAAGAATTAGTTTTGTTGTTGCTCAAGAGCGGCTCATCTCTATCAATACCCCGACAACTTCATATTTACTGACTCTACAGGTTGGAGCATGGTCTGTATCTGTGTATGTGCATGCTTGCATGACACACCCTACTCAGTGTTTGTCTTCAGCCCTGTGATAAGGGTGTGGCTCCAGGCCGAGCGTTACCTCGCAAGTAAATGTTCTGCGCGAAATCTCACAGGAGACATGAACTGTGGGGGTCGTAAATTCTCCTAATAAGGGAGATGGCAGATAAGAAATAAGCTGAATGAGTGGGAGATCTCTGTGGGTAAAGAGGAAGGAGGAAAGGGAAATGAAAGAGAAACAGAAACAGTATTATTTTTTATTTTCTGTTACTGCCTCAACCAGTTCAACTCAGATGCTCCGCCAACGGAGAACAATTTATTGGTGTTCGCACCTTACCGAGGCCTGCAGGCAAAAACCTGTTACACCTACGTAAGCCCTGTGCCCTACTTCCAAATATTTCACTTGTATTCAAATATATATCACAGGAAATTGGAGTTGGAGCTGAAGCTTTTACAGATAACAAGAGAAGCTGTACGACAAGCTCATCCCTCGCTTATGAAAACATCATCTGGGCGTGTATGTGTGTGTTTGTGTCTGTGTGTCTGTACCTTTAGATGTCCACGGTGCATATCAGCTCTGCCACACATGGAAAGAAAGCAGGGGACTGCAGCCATGTCAATGATTATGTATACAGGAACTTTGCGTTTATATGCAGCATCAAGCAGGTCACGAAAGATATCCACGTCTGTAAACACATCCATCACCACGGCTATTACCTACACATACACACACACACACACACAAAGAAAACCACAAATGGTGTTACACATTTCCTGCTCTGTGAGGGTGGGTTTGATTTGAGATTCATTTATCAACAATATTATATCACATTATATCCTCAACAGGAAACTGGCCACTTGTGGGAACTGCATTTGAACAATAAGTCAAATCCTCGGGGACAGAGAATGTTCTCGCAGTCCTGCAACTAACTGGCTCGTAAAGAGACTTCTAGAAACAAACTGTTTTTTCGCAGAGTGGTGATAAATTGTTAAGCGTCTGGACGGTGCGTGTTCAACAACACCGCAGCACTGGTGAAAGCCTGGGACGTTTCACACAGCGCTGCCTGCTCGCTCTTCACATGACCCAGTTTGAAGATTAAAACTGCAGAAACTGATTTGAAGATGAGGCCAAAACTGAACAAGTTAATTGCTTGTTCATTAGCTGTAGATAAAAAAGATATTTTGGTGAGCCTCGATGTTATTGCATTCTACCGCAGCTTTCTTTTTTGAATCAATAAACCTGTTCACATGGACACCAGTAACAGAGTACTAACAGATTATGAAGCTTTTGCTAAATTAAAAAGGAGAACACTCAAAATGGTGCACGGCAGCATCATGCATTTAACTGTTTCAGGTTGGGATTTTAAAATTCTGGAGGGAACTTCCAACATATGAGGTAGTGAAAGTAATGTTGACATGAATAATAATCAGACTTTGCTCTTTAACATGGATACGGGAGTAAGATTTGAATAAATCTGTTAGCAACTCATGTAAATGTCACAATCATGTAAAAATCTTAATCAAAATAATGTCAACAGTTGAAATATTGGTGCCGTTGATGTGCATGCAGTGAACAGTGCTTTTGTAAATCACAATAAAGTTAGGGTGGTAAAGTAAAGGTTAAAGAAGATGAGTTGCAATAATTTAACAGTAAATAATCTTTAAAGAGTGAGTGTCGTGCACAGGGCGCTGGCATGTAACATGTTCAGTGACGTTGGAGAATTCTTTCCCACTGGCGTGGCAAGATCAGACTTGTGATAACTTGGCACATGTGAGAGAAGTAGAGGAAGGGAAGTAGGTTCATGAGACAAGACAGAGGCAAATAATGAGGTGTAAATGGTTTGTAAATGTAAATCTGACGCAGACACAGGATCAAATTCAGTCAAAGGAGGTTCATGTCAGGTTTTTTTGTCCTCCTACAAACCTAAATAGGAGAATCTGCCAAAGGCAGTGATTCGTCAGCGATTTCAAATAAGACCATGTAAACTATGACAGTTACTAAAAGAGTGTTGAAAAGAAAACATTTCATTGTGTGATGCAACTCGACACTAAGTTCTGCAAGTAACGATTATTTTTATGCCAAAACTTTCACTACAACTTATCATTTAGTAAAAGCTTTTAAAAACTCTTGATTCAAACTGATTGTCTATTTATAGGCTCTTATTTATTTGATCACTCTGTTTTCCTCCACTCATGCTCCTTTGTTTTTATCATTATTTCTGAGTTCCAGCAGTGAAATGTTCTCAGAGACACTTGTCACATCTTCGCATACCAGTTTAAACAGTTAAGATCCACATGTATGCAGTTGATGATCATGTAAAACAGAGACTGATACTGGAGAAGCTAGAACCAGAGAGAATTTAGTTTTTTGGACTAAAAACAACCATAAAACCCTGAACTCGTGATCAAACAGCTAATCTCTTTATTCCTGTGTATTGTGCCATAAAAAACGCAGCTCGGCATTTTGTGTTTTTATGGTATTGAACTTCAATATAAACTGAGCACCCAGGAAAACCACGGTGTTGTTGTGCATTCAGCAGCAGTGCAATAAGTTTTAGATGAGATTTTCACTGTGGTTTCTTTTGTGCTGACTCAATGCAGTAGTACATTTTGGGTGAATATAGTGTTTCTGTTTCGGACTAGATCACATTAGAATGTGTACTGTCCAAAATAACAATAT